CAGTAAGTGCCCCGACCCCCCCCAGGGGGGGGGGGTCAACCTCATCCCCTGCAACTGCTGACACTGATTGGGTCGGGAGGAGGGGGTGGTAGTCAGTTTTGAGCAGGCTTTGGCAAATTCAAGTGAACTGGGTTTGCAGCAAGCCCAGACTCGTCTCTTTACTGATATATATTCTACCATCAGTAGTGTAGCAAATTGTACATTGATTATTACAGTATATTAATGGTAATATATTATAGTATATTACAGTATATTAATGATAATATATAATACAGTATATTCCAAAGTCTCCACTCTTTCCAGTTTGCAGAAATTATATTAATTTACCAAACCAAAGTTATGTTGCTGACCTTCACCGCTTAGCTCTCTTTTAATGATTTCAAATATCATTTCATGCTGATCCAATTACCCTCTAAAGCAGGGGTAGCAAACCTCCAGCTCCCCCAGCTGTGGTGGGACTACAAATCCCATGAGGCATTGCAAGATTCTCACAGCCACAGACATAACTCCCGAAGAGAGATGCATCATGGGATTTGTAGTTTCACCACAGCTGGAGGGCTGGAGGTTTGCTACCCCTGGTCTTAAGCCTCAGTTGAGCCACCCTCATAGTTTTGACTATTTTTAACTGACCTTTTCCAGTCTGATTTCAAAAGCAGAGATAAGAAAGGCACAGGAGGTGCAGTTGGGCCTCCAAATAAAATAAAAGTATCATAATTTGCGGCTTTTGGACCAGCTGTTAGGGTAATACCATTTGCTTGTCTGTAATCTGCATTATTTTGGGTTAAATTTTAAGTCTGATTTCAGAAGCCTTTGTTTTTCCTTCCTTTTGTACATGGTGCCTAAATTTAGATGTGAAGTATCGGGATGTGTTGTGATGTTTCACAGCAAGCAGCAGTTGCGCTTTCATATTTTCACGCACTACTTGCATCTGTTGAGCCAGCTGGCTTTTTTTTTGAGAGCTTTTAGATTCTGCCTGTTGAAGACATTTCTTTTAATACAGATTTAGGATGCTTGTGGTTTTACACAGGGATGCTTTAAACATGTTAGTTATGTTTTAATTTCTAGACAAAGATCATATTTCCTGGAGAAATGTGTGATCAATGGGCAAAACTTGCATTTACTTTGCATCCAATATATACTGCTTTGGTAATAGTGTGAACATGTTAATGGAGCATCTTCAGAGTACATCCAACATTCCAGGGACATCTTTGTCTACGCTGAACAGAGGCAGTTGTATACAATGATAGGGAAATAGTTAGGCTGTGTTCACACCTAGGCGTATCAAATATGCGCGTTTGTACCGCGATTCGCGGTAAAAAACGCGCGCCTGACGCGCGTTTCCGAGGGCTACTTGGCTGTATCCCAATGGAAACGCGAGACAAAAACTCCGCAAAGAAGCTCATGTACCTTTTCAGGCGTAGGCCGTTTTGTAGCGCGTTCAGACGGGCTGAAATACTGAAAGGTGTGAACCATACCCATAGAAAACAATGGGATTTTCAAGTTTGTACGTTTTGTAGAGTGTTGAATGTGCTACAAAACGGAAAGGTGTGAACCAGGCCTTACTCCGCAGTAGTGATGAGGCTGTGCTTGGTGTGAACCCAGTTGGTCTAAGGTGGCCCCAGCCTGATAAACTGACACCCCCCTCCTCCTGACCCAAACAGTTGTAGGGAGGCACATTTCCTACCCCACAACCATACGTCACAGAGGGGCAGGGAATGCCCCCACCGCAAATGCTGACACTGATTGAGTCGGGAGTAGGGGGTTGCGGACAGCGTTTTGAACAAGTTTGGGTGAACTGAGGCTCATCTTTACTTAGCAGTTACTCATACTTTGCTATAAGTCAGGGGTATCTTCCCTGCACTGAAGACTTTGTATATGTGAGATATGATATGTGCAGCACCCCTGCATACCAGCATACATCCTGAATGGAAGTAAATCCCAGCATTTGGTGCCTGCAGCTAATATGCAAAAGCACACAATTAAAATGTATTTGCCTGCTTTGTAATGTAGGAGGTATGATGTTTTGAACCAATGTCGAACTCTATGGACATGTCTTTCTTCAACCTGACTAACTATGTAACTTTTGTTTTGAACCATGTTTTCCTGGAACGCAGCAAAAACTAATCGCATTGTATCTAGAATGTATTAAAGTGTGATATAAAAAATGCTGAAAAGTCACACAAAATGTACAATATATCCTAGTATTCCAAAATGTGTCTAAATGCATGAATGTGCTTCTGCACATTGCAACACAGGCTGTCATGGGTCCTTTAAGGTAAAGTGCATCAGGCAAAAAAACCATGATTCCAAGAGTCCATTTCCACTCATGTATATTTATTCGTGTCTATACTGCTTTTCTCTCATACAGTATGTCAGTGGGAATGCAAAAGCAACTTGACCCAGCATTGGAGTCTTACTAAAGTAATTACTACGCTGATTCATACTGATCAGTCTGGTTTCATACCTGACCACTCGACTTCAATTATTTTACACAAACTATATTTTAAATATGCAAATTAATACTGAATGAGATGGCCATAGGACAATTCTTTCCCTTAACACTGCCAAAGCATTCAACAGTGTTTAATGGACCTAGGACATTGTGAAGGTTCAGCTTTGGAGATGAATTAATGTCATGGGTACAGATCTTGTATGTCAACATTACTGCTACATTATGTATTAATGGATTCCTGTCCACTTCCTTCCATTTATTGCTGGGCACTAGAGAGGGGTGCCCTCTGTTGTCTCTGCTGGTTTCCCTGGTGGTAGAGCTCCTTGGTACTGCCCTCTTTTTGGAAGCAATATAATTAGCTGCTTCCTAAGGCCTTCTATGCTGTTCATGTCCTAATCTTTTGTACAAGGTATGCAGAAGTCACTAAGAAATTTTGGTCTTTTCTCTTTAAACTTTTGGGAAATAATCCTTCCAGATAAACTGGGATGAATCTGTTCTGATGCGATTAGACCTCCTGGACTTCCACTCGCTGGTGAAGCCTCCCGAATAAGAGTTGTTTAACTTTAAATACATTGGAGTTATCTCCGAGCAACACACTGTTTAAGTTAGATAATATCTTCATTCCTTCCTACCTTCTAGTTAGGTTGTGAGAGTAGTGTAAGACCTTGTTGTCCCCTCCCCCTTGCTGTGGTTGGAAGAAGTAAGTTAAAGCGTATTTCCACTTTGGCATTTAAATTTGAGAGAACCCCACTATATGTTGGTTTTGTGTTTCCAATCACAACACATACTGAAAATTAATTTTTAGATGTCTTGTTGCAGCAGACCTCTGTGGTCCATGCCCCGCAGTGGGAAGAGCTCCCCCAAATCTTGGGTCTATGCCCCCTCTGATCCCCACTGCTCCCATCGCGAATCGGAGGGGACACAGCAGAGGAGGGACCTGAACTTTCTCTTTCAGCTGTATGGCAGCAGGCAGTGGGCAGATGCAATAGCCACAAATACTTTAAAAAATACCTAAAAGCAGGCTGGCTATTGCCCCCACCCACTGCCTTCTGTGTTTTGCACTCAGCTGCTGCCTGCGGAATCTTGCCCCTGGCAGCTGTCATTCCTGAAATGAAGCTATTCAAGCGCGGTGTGCTTTGAAGTGGAGAACCTGTCGCCGCCAATGTGCTGTCACACAGGGGGATTGTGAGCACCCCCCATGTAATGGCAATTACGTCGAGTTGAGTTAAAAAGCTAACTAAAGCTAAAACCTACGTACAAAAACGACAATTGTGCTACGCATGTCGGGTATGACCGCATGCGCCAGAGCGAGTGCAATAATTGTCAGGCCAATATCTCTCCTATCCAGAGTTTTTCGATTCTAATTATTTTAAATCCATGAAACTGATTAAAATTTCTAATATAATCATACAATTGTTAAAGTAAGACATTTAAAAAGTGCGGAAAAGTAATTATGTTTCAGCCTGATGAATTCTGTTGCAGGAGGTGCGTTGTGGTGCCATTCATTTCAATGCCTACACTGGAAAGTGCGGTACCACAATGCTGTGTGTCGCAGTGCATTTGCAAAAAATTGTGCATGCGGTTTTATTCTGAAGTAAACTATATAACTCCATTTGTGTATTTTATTTTAAATTTTAAGGATGGTATTTCATTTTCTTTTTATCAGATTAATCGATTATGTTTTTGATCTGCCAACTAATCGATTATAAAAATAATTGTTGGCTGCAGCCCTAGTAATAAGCAAATGTGAGTCTCTATGCACATTATATAATTGGAAATAATGCATGAAAATAATGTTTTTATAAAAATGCTCCGTAAGATGTATTGGTTACGCTTATTTTGAAGTGCTGTGGCTTTGGTTTTGTGATCATTTTATATTGTGTTCGGGTATAATACACATCTGCTATATAGAAATATTTTGATTGAAAAGGATCTCAATTCTATATTCTGTTTTTATAACATTAGAACACTTTTTGCTATTTATTTTTCCACATGTAACTCTAAAAATGTAAGGTTGTAATTCCTCTTTACATTGTTGGTTGAAGGTAACCTTTTTGTATGTAAATAAACTGGCAGTTTGATTTGTGTGCTTTTTATAATACGTTTTGAAATCTTTTTACATTCTACTGATGCTTTTAAAACTGAGCATTAGATGAAGCAAGCATTTCATTTCGCGTTAAATACTAAAATCTTTTTCATCCTAGGTTACCACCTGGCCACGTGTTCTGCAATGAAGATACTGTCCTTCCTGCAACACAATCTGCACATGATAATGAGCTTTCTGTAAATAAAGATGAGCATACAAAGAAAGAGGTGTGTATTTGACCTTTATGAAAAGGTTTTGATCTACTGTGAAAGATAAAATATGACAAAGACCCGAGACTAATTCTCCCGAAATCTTGGAGCTAGTTCTGAAATGTTAGGAGCCAGCAACAATGCGGTGTTATAGCTCACGTCCTGTGTAAGTAGAAAGGGCTGCTCAGTGTATTTGGGGCCTGTGTTGAAGGGCTTTTGTTTTACTTTTAAGTGGATTTTTAATTACTATAGACTTGCATAGGAATGCAGAAAAATGTTGGATGCAGGTCAGAAAGAGGTCAGACGCAGGTCAAATGTGCCTGTCAATGAATTCTGAATGATCACAAAAGCATCCCAAACTGATGTCAAACTAATGCCATTCACACAAGCCTAACACCTGTTGACACATACCCGAAAGCTGGCGCTATTGTATTATTATTGCTGAAGTTCATGGACATTACCAGGGTCAAATCTTCACAGTATGGATATGTCCTTGGAAATATTCAGACAGTTTGTTACCTGTGGGTAAAGCTTACCTGCACTCTTAACACAGGATACTCCAAGACATTGTCCTATATGAGACCATGGAACCCTACAGCATGACCTCTCCCACTGTCCTGACTGACTATCTGTAAAACTTTGTTCAGTGACAGACTGGGCCCCACCCCTGGCACAGTTATCAGGACCACATCCTATTTACAGTTCATGTACCCATTGCGCTCCTGACCGCTCATCATTAGGAATAAATGGGTGCACCGTCAGTCGACGGATGGCCACCATCTGTGATACAAAAGAATATGGACTCCGGCACTTGTTCTGCCTGAAGGGAATCCTACGTGACCCCGAAACATTGCACTAAATGTGTCATGCTTTTTTTGCATCTACGTCAATAAATAGACATTCTATCTGCTGTTGGAGTGCCGGTGTCCATATTCTATCAGGACCACATCCTTTCACATTCTTGCGCACCTTTCACTGGACATGGAACATATTAAATGCTAGCTATTCATATGAGCTTACATGCCCACAGTTGACTTCATGCCCGACGTAAAGTGCTGCTTTGATTAACACTTTGGTCCTTCATCCTGCTGCTTGGCAAGTAAGTGGCTGTCATATAGAGGATAGAGGAGCCAGAACAAAGGTTTTGGGTTGAGTTGTGCCACGGCAGGTGGAAACCAATTTTCAGGAGCAGTGGTCATAAATGATATCCAGCCTTGCACAGGGCATCATAGTTTCCAGGGAACTTTTTCCTTTGCCATGACGATCTGCTGACCCACATTTGTCCAGCCTTGTGGTAAGCCATAACAGCCTAGATAGTTGAATGCAAAAAAATGAATGCAGTTATTTATTTATTTGAAGAGTACTGTAAGTACCTGAATTCGTCCTGACAATGGCCTCCTTTTTAGTCCTTTCATCATCAGCACTCAGACCTGGAGAGAGAAGAGTTATTAGGAGCTAGTTGACCTCCACTGCAATGCATATGTGCTGATAGAAGAAGGAAAGGGAATAGAAGGCTGATGACATGTTGCTGTTTTTCTTGCCCAGTCAACAGGTTGGACTTTTGACTGTTTTTGACCATTTGCTGCTGCTGCTACTACAGTAGAGGTTAAGAGCTTGCTATGCTTTTTGGTAGGGTTGTCTGGATCACTGACTGTTGGTTACTGATTCTTCGGCAGGAAAACATCTTGCATAGGTGTATTTCAGCTTTTTACTGGACTGTAAACTTTAGACAGTTCTTTCTCCTACATTGAGGAACACAGACTTCACACGGGTCCAATGGCTATGCTTTTGGTAGTACTTTTGCTACAAAACTGAGGTGTGCTGTAATAGTAGGAGTGGTTGTCCTGGGCTGGCCAACAGTTTCAGTATTTTAATCCTGCTGTGGGCAGCAGTTTAACCCAGAAGGTAAAATACTTCCCGTGTCCCTCAATGAATTCCAAGAAAAGGATTCCGGTGAATGTCACGGTGACCAGTTTTGACAGAGCTGACGGTGTGTGTTGACCTGTATGCAAACATTAAAGTGATGTGTCTGTTTTGCAATGTTGTTTTTTCCAGGATTTTAGAAATCTGTGTAAACATTAGACCTTGTTTACCCTGTGGTTAGCACTGCATTTACTTTGATCATGAACTGCCTGAGGGTGTTCCCATGAATTTAGTTGATTCAAAGATGAATAGTGAGTTTTTCTGTTGCTTTCCTTGAACCTATGTTTTGCAGCATCCTATTGTCCCTCCTGTACCTCCATTGTAATAGCAGATGACCTCTTGGGCACTGTCAGTACTGAGTTATTATCGGTTTGACTGCAGACACCCTGCTTGGAACATGTTTTGTGGTGTAACACATGAACATTTCTATATGTAGGTGATACCACACACTACATACTGGTTGATTTGACATTATCCAAAAATAAAAATATGGCATGGTAAATCCGTGTGTTTGTGTCTTTAAAACTGCCATTTTTTTTTTTTTTTTTTTGCTGGTTGGGTTTTTTTTAAAGCAGAGTTCCAATAAAAAGGATACGTGCACTTTAAATCAAAGCTAACTTATCCTTTTTGCCCCCTCTTTCATGACTTATCCTAATCCACCTCCCCCCAGCACACCTACTTCAGGTCTGACAACCACTGTTCCGCTATTCCTGTAACTTCTATTTTAGTGTGTGTTGTGTGTGTTTTTATCGTGTCTGAATATACTTATTCATTATTTTGTCATTAATGAGGGCAGGCTAAATTGGCCATGAACACAGCATTAGGTTGTTGCCCTTTTAAACACCTATCGCGTTTCACTTACAGCTTATTAAATTAGATTGCTGGTTTATTCCTTAGTGTATTTCCACTTTTGCAGTCAGATTTGGGAAACTCCCTCCATATGTTTGTTATGTTCCTATTCACACAGCATACTGAAAAAAATCTTACCTAGATGTTTTAGTAAATCGGGCAATATGGCTAATTCCAGGTTTCTCTTAACCTCCCTGGCGGTAATCCCGAGTCTGGCTCGGGGTGAATTTTCAATGCTAGGAGCGGTAACCCCGAGCCAGACTCGGGGTTGCAGTATTTATAATTTATTATATTATAATTTTTTAATTTCGTGTTTCAAACTTTATCATACCTGGGATGTCTACTTTACTCTTGTTTGGACAGATTTAGGTGAGTAATTCCTAAGATTTACTAAGAATTACAGGCCTACAATATAAACAGCAAATTTCCATGAAAAACAATGTACCGCTTTTGGTACAAAATTCCTGACATAATCATACCGCCAGGGAGGTTAATCCTTTCACAGTAGTCAGTCCCAATGGAAAGTTTTGGGACTGAAATTTGAGGATTGTGTTTATCTGATAAGCCTTATTAACATACAGTGGACAAGCCACCTCTGAATGGATGAGACCCCTCAGCCCCTTTCTTCTTCTTTTTTCTTTCCTGCTCTTGTGCGCCCCCTAGCAGGAGCAGAACACACTGACGGGTGTAAACAGCCAGTAATGACTGTTACACATGCAAGCAATTGGCGCGCCGCCCCTCCTCTCCCCCGCCATTACCTTCCATGCCGGGCTCCGCTATCCCCTCTGCGGGCCTGGGACCAGCTCGGCGCCTGTCAGTAGGAAGATGGGAGGGCGATCAGCATTGTTCCACTTGCTGATCTCCCCTCCAATCTCTGAATGTGGAAGTGGTGTGTATTACATCACTTCCGCATTCAGCTGTCATTTCTCTGGCTGCTATAGCCAGAGAAGAAGCTGGTGAAGCTTGGAGACCCCTAATGTCTCCATAAAGAGGACCTGTCAGCGATAAAAGCTTTTAAAGCGGCACCTATGACCGACATTCGATATTGTAGCTTTTTGCGGTTTCTCAGGCGCATGCAATTTTAAGGCTTGACATGTTTGGTGTCTATTTACCCGATCTTTTTATATTTTAGCAAAAAATGGCATAATAAATGTTTCATAACATAACGTAGGGAAAACGTTTTTTTTTTCCAAAGTTTTCCATATATAGTAAAAAATACCCCCCTTCCCAGTGGTGAATAAATACCACCAAAAGAATACTGTGTCCCCCCAAAAATGGTATAAAATTTAATTTCAGTACAGCATTGCATGACGGAATAACTTCAGTTACAGCGCTGAATACTGAAAATGGCCTGGACAGGAAGGGGGTGTAAACACCCCGGTCAGCAAGTGATTAGACCAGATAAAAAATAGGTGTTATCCCAAGTTGGCTGTGAAAGTGGAAATACACAGAGAGGTCTGTCATAGTATATTAACTTGAAGATGTATGAGCTAATATTTGTTTATAAACAATATAGGAGGAAAGGGAACAGCCAAAGACTTCAGAAATAGTAGATTCTCCATCGTTGGGGCACGTGGGAGAAGATTTGCTTTTGGAAGACTGCACAAAAGATGAAAAGGTATTTTTGCTTTCTCTTATAATTGGAAAACAATAATATATCTTCTGTCTATTATGTTTCCCTTTTTTAGGTGCTTCATTGAGAACATTCTATATTGTAGGCTGGCTATATTGATGCAATCAATATGTGACTTTATTACTTTTGGTATACTCTCTTGATGGAAGTTAAAGTGACACTCAACTCAGAGTTATTTCTTAAAAATGCTTTCAAGTACTAAGTACCTTAACTAATAATAAAACTGGACCTTATTTGTGTATCACTTCACTTTAGATCTTCCAATCATCTCTGAATTGGTGCTGACACTGTCCTTCCTTCTGGAGGGTGGCTACTTTTGTTCCGCCGTGGTCCGTGTGTGTGTTGTAAAGTAGACACGGCTCCAAGCTCATTACCGTGATGGACTACAATCTCAGGTTTAGTTTACTAATTTGTATTCAGCACAAGGGGCGAAAATGATTCTTCTCAGATCAGTCAGGGTCTGGAACTCGCTGCCACATGCTGTGATTTCGGCGGAGAGTGTGGAATCGTTCAAGAGGCGATTGGACGATTTCCTCAGAGACCGTAATATACAGGGGTTCAAGTACTATTAAGAATGAGAACACACAGGGACCTATACATACTACACATCAGTAGGACCATACACATAATAGGTTGGACTTGATGGACATATGTCTTTAGTCAACCTCAAATACTATCTAATTGAGCTTGTAGTCCATCACGGGAGCAATCTTGGAGCGGTGGCTACTTTACAACACAGAGTAATGCACTAATAAGATGCGTTTTTGTTAAGTCGGGGTACTTGAATGCATTTTTTAAGGTTTAATGCCTGAGTTTAGTGTCACTTTAAAATGCACCTGCCTTTATGTAAAAGTAGTTAATTTAGCCTCATAACTGAGAAGTAGGGGCACCTAGATGACTAAAGATGCCTTTGCGCTAAAAGGGAAATCTCTGCTGTAATGTTGTAGGATGGGTTGGAGATTCTGGGGAAGGCAAGATGCTGCTATATGGTACATTCCATTTGGGTTATGATGCTCTGGTGACAAATGTACTTTATGGTGAACCTGTGCTTTACCCAGCTTCAGATACTGGCCTTCCCATGTTTCCCCAGTGCTCCTTTTTGGCTGCAGGTGACAAAGAGAAATACCCAGTACTTCCAGGTATTCTAAGTTTCTGACTCCTGTCCCTTTTGTGACAGCACTGGGGCTTGGTTGACTGCTCAGGAAGTTTGCCTTGTGAGACTGTGGAGGTTAGAGAGTCCTCAGCCCCCCTGTGTAAGCTCCTAGTTATGGCTTCAGTCACAGCTCGGAGCAGAAGGAGAGCAAAAGTAGAGTTGAGTATATACAGCTCTGCATTGTAGGCACTGACATTAGCACAGCGTTTATTTATTGTTCATGGAAGACTCCAACATTGGTGCCCAAGCCGGCTGCTACGTCAGCCTTTGGTCACATGACCTAGAACAGGAGCCCCAAGCTACCTTCTATTTTCAAGTGAGTTTTTGCACTTTGGGTCAGCCCCTTCTCTGCCCTTTTAATGGTTAAATATGTTTCTGCAGCAGACCTCAATCTTGAGTTTAGGCTTGTCTGTAGAGATTACGTGCCACTTGTGTGACCATTGCAATTTAGCAATTGTGGAAAGGTGGGTGTGTGGGTTTTTTTTTTTTTCCTCTCCCTCCACAAACACATACATAAACAATCAGGCTTGTCTGTGTGACTATCAGATGACTGAAAGATCTTTCAGCAGTCAGATTGTTTCTGAACCTTATGACTGACCCCGTAGGCCTTTTTTTTTTCTCCCACCAATAGAGATGTTGTGTTCTTGCTGCCTGAAAATGTTTGCAGGGTCATGACAAAGTACTACTGTTTCCTATACATCTTCTTTTTTTTTTTTTAGTCTGTCTTTATTCTTCTCTTTAACACATAGAGAAAAATATGTGTTTGCTTAAACCCACTACTAAGGAACACAGAAAAAATACTGCCGTGGTTCATACTGTTTTCACTTTCTGCATTTGCCATCTAACTAAAGGGTCATCTAGTCAGTAGCATGCATGGGGAACAAGTGTTTTCTGCCCATGCTTTGTTGAACCCATAATTTGACCATTGCATCAGCGCTTTTAAATTCACTTCACACGTTGGCTATGTTGCTTTTGTCACATTTGAAATTTAAATCTGTACTCCAGGATCCTGCTTACTTTGGACCCTTGGATTCCTTTCCAAAAAGTTTGTTTTACTTATAAATGCCCTTTTTTTGTTTTATTCCTTGTTTTTCTTACTTTTGATGTCATTGTCTCTTTCTGTAAAGTCTACGCTGCCCGAGTACCAGGAGGGGACGATCTAAGGGCTTGTTCACACAATGCCCAGACCAGAACAGTTAGCTATTGGACTTAAAACGCATCCCAATGTATCTCTGTGATTTTTTTTGGGCTACAGTTCACACCTTTTGCAGTGCTTTCCGCTCCAGACCAAAAAAATACTGCATGTCTTATTTTTTTTTTTCTGGTCTGGAGCGCATCGAAACGCGCAAAACGCTTCAAAAATGCACAGACCGCAGTGAACTGCACCTGAAAGCCCATTTTAAACTTGGACTGTGTTTGCAAATCTGCTACACATCTGGTCCGCACATGGTGTGAACATAGCCTAAGACTGTGCATGTGTTCACTATGCATAAATAAGAACATAATTTTTCCATGATTCCACGGGAAGGTACTACAGTGATGGGCGAGTGGTGTTCAGTGCTGTGCTACATAAAATTATAGACAAAACAGAGTTTTTAAGGCTGCCAATCTACTGATGGTGGGTTGTGACTCAGCCATCCACTGTAAGCTTGTCACCAAAGGAGACCAGGAGCCATTTCTCCATAGGGAGAAAATAGTGGTGCCCAGAGCAGAAACGGCACTAATGTGTGGGCATGAGGGGAAGTTTGGGAGCTCATAAAGATGATTGACTTTGAAAAGAAATAAAGATCTTCTCTCTTTTTTTTTTTTTTATTCAATACATTTTTATTGCTATGAAGAAGCATAGCAGAAAACATCCAGTACAAATGGTGGATCAATGAGCGCATAGCGTAAACAATATTGAGTACTGGGCACTGACATATCGACTATTGTGACATCAAATAGAGGACCCATTAGACAGCATGAGTAATCAGCGAGTACAGTCTTAATGTTGCATAGGCATATGCCCCAGTCTAACTAAGAAAGACCGAATATAACCAAAGGTAGGCAGTTTAAAAGGAGAGAATGAAGATCTGATGGTATGATATGCTTCTTGGCTGGAGCTCAGGTTTTATTGACTGCTGAAGTTTTCAAGGTTGTCAGTTGCATTAACTGATCTCTCTTATTTTAAATGACTTTGAAATTGATGTCTTTGCAGGACAAGAAAACAGAACCAGGACTAAATTTACCTCTGGACAATATTGACATAAAAGACGTGGAAAAAGCAGCTGTGAACCTGGATACCAGTGTTGAAAACATTTCCAGTTCATCTACCTCAGAGATCCCTCCGGTTCCACTGCCTGAGTAAGACTTCATTTACTTACAAATAAACTTTTCGAGCTGTTCTGTTTGGTGTGCAGTGTATGGAGCTGCCAAGTCTTTCCAGTACTGCATACGCAGCAAAATCCCAAAGCTAAATTCCTGTTTTGCGTTTTTCTTTTGGGCCTTTGCAGTCATCTTGTGCATGTTTTATGTATGGCTTTGAAAAAAAAACCTACAGAAGGTACTAAGTTTGCACGGGTTGAAGAAAGACTAGATTTAAAGAACTCTTGTATAAACAGAAACATTTCTGTAATTTCTAAGGTCTCCAAATATAACATAGTAACAGTTCGGTCTCAGTTTCTGAAGCTTTGAGTGTCGGTACTGTGTAAACAAACTGATCTCCCAAACTAGACTCTTGCAGTACTTTATCCATGTCCATCCTGCTTTAGAGTAAACTGAGGATAGAAGAATTATGGGAGCAGCCATTGCCAGTATTTTTAGAATCTGCTAGCTCTCTGTCGGTAATAATTGCCTTGTGGTTTCGCTACTCAGTAAGCCACTGTTCTGGAACAACTTGCAGGTCAGGACTTGGCAGTGAAGCCTCGGGATGATCACAACAAATGGGAAGAAATCAGCAGTGACACCGTCTCCTTTTTTTTTTTTGGTATGCTGGCAATAGAAAGAAAAAAACAACATAAACAATTTTTTGGTTAGGGATTTTTTTTTAAAGCAGGTACCGTATTTTTCGCTCCATAAGACGCACTCACCCCCCCCCCCCCCCAAAAGGTGGGCAAAAATGTCTGTGCGTCTTATGGAGCGAATGTGTGAGAGCTGAGGGAATCCCGACGCCCAGGACATGCAGTTTCGGTCACAGGGCCGAGTAGTTTTTTTTGTACATTTAGCCCTGCTCCGGACAAGCGGAGCTAAATGTATAGTGTGGAGCCGCCGCTCGTTTTCATACAAGTGATCTGATTAGAGCGCCAGCTGTCAGGAACTACATGCGTGTTATGGACCGCAATATACGGTAATTTTTATTAGTTTTTTTTTTTTTCTCAATGAGAACATACATTTTCTCAAGAAATATCAATGGAATAACCACTGCAATAAAGAAAACAAAGATACACTTACAAAATAAAAAAGTAGCTACATGTCTTGGTTAATGAGACGTATCAATGTATATAAGAGTACAATCAACTAGTGCACAATAAACCAGAGCTTGTGAGAGACAACAATTGGAGAGATAGAACTGAATGAGGTGGTTTGAAAGAAAAGGGTAATGCACAGGTAAATGTCCCGAACAAAACCTAATGAGCGAAAGGAATAGGGGATATTACATAGGAATTATGTAACATTTGGGTTATATATAGGGATTATGTAACATTTGAGTTATATAATCAGTCTAAATTCAGTGATTGGTGTAGTTAAAAATAGGGGGAAAAATTTACAGGATAAGATATGGAGGTTGTTCATCTAAGAATACCTGACTCTTGCTAAATCACTGGCCCAGAACAAACAGGCAGATTAGAAAGTTTGAGTGAAGTCACTAGATCAGCATGGTGTTTTACTGTTTAATTATAAAATCTTATTGCTGGGTCAACCTGGCCCTAGTATCTGGTGTGGACATAACTGATTGCAAGTTGCTGTAGGTTCTGGTTGGGCACAGTTTGTTTGGTCAGAGAGAAAATGATTTTGTGTGAGGAATGTTGACCGTACACCCTCCCGTGTTCTGCTGTTATCTGTTAGTTCAATGCCACAGCCGGGTCCTGTACCATCGTTTGCGAAGTCATCGCGAACCAGCTGCCTCTTCTGCGTGCTACAGCCGCCCCTTCTGGCGTCTGCAGCCACAACCTCCCCCTTGCGTTGCTGACCCGGATCACCCATGCAACATCCTGTAATATGTGACTGGAATGTCCCAGGAGGCTGCTGGAGCGGGGCGTGTCATGTTTGCAGAGGAGAGAATGGCAGCAGGGTAGTGGACATAAACAAAACAAACGGCGATTCGTGGCCCTAGCCTAGGGAGTGAAGGTCCACTTTAAGCTCAATATACACATTACAAACATGCCATGCAACCAGTCAACTTTAGCTCTACCAAAACTATGTAAAATGAGTACCTACCTAAAAAACGGATGGCGCCGTGTCAGATACAGTCCATAATAGAAGTCACCAGCACTCGATGTGTGCAAGAAGTAAAGCGTGTTTTATTAAATTGTCACATGCGTCATACAGCCAACGTTTCGGGGCCACACAGGGTCCCTTCTTCTGGGCGACATAGGTCACTATGTCGCCCAGAAGAAGGGACCCTGCGTGGCCCCGAAACGTTGGCTATGTGACATTTTAAAGTGCTTTACTTGCACACTGAGTGCTGGTGACTTCAATTATGGACTCAATCTGACAAGCCCGTGCATTGCATATTTTTGGTTGAACTAATGAAGATTGCACAGTTAGACTTTAACATGTGTTGAGCTTTAGATACCGTTTTTAGGTGGCATTTCAAATAGATTGTGTTCTGTTTTTTTTTTTTCTTCTTCTCCCTTTCCATTTCTCGATTAGCAGAGCGCAATAAGTTTGCATGTCCCCATATTTTATGTAACAAACGTCTGTAAGAGCAAAACCACACTGTGACAGTTGTGCTAAAACAAAAGATATTTGGTAATCAGCTGATAAGTAGCCATAAAAAAAAAAAGCTCATCTAAAAACATTCAATATTAGGTAATGTTAAAAATCTTACATAGTTGCATTCTATCTCAAAGTGCCTGAAGAGCGAATGTTCTTGTTGCAGAAAGATCCAAGTAGATTATCCCATTCATTTTTCAAGGGGAATATGTAAGAAGGAAGTGTACGTACTTTACATCATGTATGGCAAGGAGCATGATCGAGCGCTTGGCTCATACTAGCATCATCTGGGGAGACTTGTATATGCAAAAACCTCGTGTGGGAACTGTCCGTTTGAGCAATTTAAAAATGTTTTATTTCTTCATACTGGCCCATCCTTCTTTATAAATCCAGACCTCCTTTTTCCAAGAGGTCATGTTTTGGCAATTTTTTACTGGAAAGGTCTGAGATGGTTATCGATCCCGGGACACAAATAGGTGTGATCCTAGTTCATTTTATTACTTCATTGCTGTGCTATATGTGTAGAGACCAATGTAGTTGGATCTGTGCGTTATAATTAATCGACATTATTCAATTACATTTTTTTTCCATTAATCGAACACCAAAATGTTAATCATTACCAGCCCTAGTTCCTATGGGTTTATTATTTTTTTTTTCTGACCTGATGACGGCCTGCGGCCCGATGTCAGAAAAAAAAAAACAGCAGAGAAAGTTGCTTTCTCTCCATTTCCCTCTCCATTCCTCCAGTGCTGACTGGGGGGACAGACTGGAGCGGGCAGGCAGAGCTCTCAGTTGTCAGTCAGGTGGATCCTGACAATTTTTTTTCTGGAGAGCGGCTCTGCACTGTTGACATATAGTAGGCTATTGCTCCACTATATGCTGAGTTTTGGGTCATATTAGTAAATATCTTCCTGTGACCCTAAAGAGAACTACCTCAAAGGTTGGGTCATAGTTCTCCTTTAACATTTTGTGAATAACCTTTGACGTTTTACAGCAGCAGTAGAGTAAACCGTTCCTTTGGTTAAATGTTGGAGCAGACCAGTGAGAATTTTCCGAAATGTGCATAAATAGACTATTTCCTTAGGAGCTGAATTTGATTAAAGTCAAGAAATACATTGACATTGTTGGAACACCTGTATGCTTTAACTGGCACATATTGCATGCATGTTTCCTTGCTTTTTTTTATTTACATATTATTCTGTGCTGGTTTCGTTTGTGCACCTCCTACGCACAGTTGGGGGATTTATAGCATTTGTACAACCTGAAATCAGGACAATTTCTGCACGCTGTGTATTTTCTATTTTTTTCCAAACTGTGTATCATTTGGTATTCCGACACGGTTCTGTTTTTCAACTAGTTTGTGGGGGTTATAAAATGATGTATTTTCTGTAACGTGCAGTAGTTGTCTAAATTTTAGCATGTGCAGTTTTATAAATGTCTTTCTGTGACGGCAACTATTTTTTTGTTTTTTGGACCAACTGCTATACTAAGAACTGGTCCAAATTTAGCAGCTGGCTTTTAGCAGATCTTAGTTTTTGCACACAAATGGCTGCATCTTAGGGCCTTTGTTATAAAAATGTGAGTAATGAAAAGGAGCAATTTGTCCCTGACCCCTCCACTGTGTCCTTTCTCAATTTTTATTACATAAGGCTCAGATTGTGTAACAAATCTGTTTTGTTTTTATGATCTATAACACTACTTGATTTGCTAGTGAGATTTTGAAATGCTCATGCTCTGTTGCCAATGGCATCAGAGTTTCTTCCTATGTGTGACATTTAAGATTTAAAGTATAAATGTGCTAGTAGACATAAAATGGTGCTGACCACTGAACAATTGATGCATAAACTAATAGATTTGTTCCCCCACACTATCTGGCATTGACAGGGGATATATAGGATATATAGATAGATATATATCCTATATATCCCCTGTCAATGCCAGATAGTGTGGGGGAACAAATCTCCAACTAGGTTGTTGTATTCTGACATTGGCAGGCATACCGCTGTCAAAATACCCAAACCGTGACAGCACCGGTTTGACTGCTGTTTCTGTTCGCCCCAAAATTTTCCATCTGGCTTCTTCGATTTTTTTTTTTTTTTTGATCAAAGGATGCCGAGCAGAAGGGTGGTAATGGGGCCACCTGCTGAAGGAATTGTGGCCAGTTATTGATTATTCAATGCATGGCCGGCTTTACTTCTGGAAATAACTAGCAGCCCAGCCTTGCCATTTGTTTCCTCTCCTGAAATGTATTATCAGGGCAAATCCGATAGTGCAAGTTTGATGCATGATCATGTCCTGATCTGACCATAATTGATCAGATTTTGTGCAGTCATCTTGTGTCGGCACCTTTTACATGTACATTGTGATCTCCTTAGCCAATTGACTGTAATCTGCAGGAAACATCTTTACTTTCAAGTTTGAAGCACATATTCGATAATACTGCAGTCATGTGAGTGGTCAGGGCTGTAATTTCCCATTAACATCAGTCAATCTTAACCACATCCGTGTTAGTCTTCAAACCACAGTTCTCTATCGGGCTCTTAAAAGCATTGCATCCAGTAAAAGTTAAAATAATAATTCCTGTGTGCTTGGTAACTGTGTGAGAGAATGTCCCCTACCCCTTATGTATCCATATTGGTTTCTGTCTGGTGCGATTTTTCTCTGAAACTCCCCCCAGGGTAAAAAGACTGTTATTTCTCTCCCTTCAGTGCAATAGAAGCGTCCAGTGCCGCTCTCCCTGTAGTCAGCTCTAGTGAACCTGAGCAGTTAGAACCTGACTGTGACACTGGGGGGGCAGTAGAGGTTGAGCCTCAGAGTGAGCCCTCCTTTATCAATCCATCAGCAAGGTGAGTATTGAAGTAGGTTGTGCTTGTTAAGCCAAATCCTCCCAAAAGCAAGAAGCTGAATAAAGGTAACTCTTCATGCGCTGCTAAGGCCATGTCGCATTCCATCGCTCGCCTGCTCTGCTTGCCTTTCTCTATCTGCGCATCTACCTACTAAATATGCATGAAAAATGCCAGAGCGTAAGTGAAACTGAAAGGCTTTGAGGATATGGTTTCCATATTTTAAAAGACAAATTTCCCTATTTTAAGATGGGGTTCTCCAGATTATAAGGTCTGTAATTTGTGGGTCTGCGCCTTTTAAACAAATGTGTCACTGACCTTTTTGCAGTCTAGCTTGCACTTGACTACCCCAACTATTCCCAATAAATAACATGGTTGAAGACCGTATACCGTTATTATAAAAACAAACCATTCCCTGACTGCTCATTTTGATGAATACAGATCTGGCTGTTTGTGGTTCAGTGTGCCGTTTGTGCTTAACTATAGAAACACTTTATTTTAGCGCTATATGCCATTTTGAAGTAAGCCTTACAGTTTTTTGTTTCCTGCAAAATAATCCTCCAAATTGTAATGTCCATATAGTCTGTTGGTTCTTTTCGCTTTTGCAGCTGCACATTTTTAATTTCAAATAATTATTGGAGATATCGTGGTTTCTATAAAATATTAAACTCTGTTAAAGCATGTTCAGATAGCTGTTGTGGGAGGGAAAGGGCTAATGCATATGTGTGTTTAGGTCTGTGTGGTGTTCTTGTGTCATTTATTTCATTTATTGCACTTGTATGAACAATGCATCTTCAAATGCTTGCTTTCAAAGATGTACATGCTTCACAGTTGGCCATTAGACCTGTATGTATGTGTTATGTATGTATGTATTTTTAACTTTTTTCCTTTTAACAATTCCCCGTAGTTTTGTGAATGAACATGTTGAGAACGTCTCCGTTTCACAAAACAAACGAAAGGCGACATCTTCAGACATAGAAGACAAAGTGTCAGCTCCTGAACCAGAAGCAGAGAAACAGAAAGTACACCTTAATGCATCAGAGGAATTGGAGAAAAAAGTCAGTATGCCCATAGCTGGGATCGGGGCATGTTATTGAAATGTATAACGCAATACCATATGTTTTCATTTCCTATGCTTTACTGCATTATATTACACTAGAACCTAGCTTTATAACAAAAAGGGCACTGACATGTAGTTGTCTAGTAAGCTACATCGAAACTCAAGTTTCCAGATGTGTCAAGTCATTACCTTGTTGACAGAGCACAGCCTTATACTCCTATATGGAAAAAAAAGCACTTAACAGAAATTTTGGAAAAATAAAGTATTAGCTGGCTGTCATTTATGTTTTGGGATGTAAATAATACTTAAGAACCTCTTTTATAGTAACAGTTTTTCCACAGTAGTATCTGGAAGTGACACTAAACTCAGGAGTTAAATCTTTAAAAAAATCATTCAGATATTGATACCTTAACTATTAACAAAAATGTATCTTATTTGTGTATCACTCAGCTGTAGATCCTCAAATCATCTCTGGTGACACCATCCTTCCTCCTGGAGGGTGGCTACTTTTGCTCACCAAGGTCCCTGTGTGGCAGCCACCACTCCAAGCTCACTACTGTGATGGACTACAATCTCATGTTTAGTTTACTAATTTGTATTGAGAATGTAGTCCATCACAGTAGTGAGCTTGGAGTGGTGGCTGCCACACAGGGACCTTGGTGAGCAAAAGTAGCCACCCTCCAGGAGGAAGGATGGTGTCACCAGAGATGATTTGAGGATCTACAGCTGAGTGATGCACAGATAAGATACATTTATGTTAATATGGTACAGGGGCGTCCCGAGGTTGGGTGACACCCGGAGCGTTAACCGAGTGTCACCCCTCCGAGACGTCACTGCGCATGCGCGATGACGTCATCATGCACGCGCAGCAGTATTCTGATACCTGCCGGCGGCCATCTTGGTGATGGACGCCGGCAGAGAGAGGAGGGGACAGTCACCCGGCGGGATAAGGTATGCCGCCGGGTCCCTCCTCTCTCTGATACTGTCGGGAGTTCGGTCCATGACTGAGCGCCCGACTTTTCAGAGGGGGGTGACACCAAAATGAATCATTTTGGTGGCACCCGGGTGCGGGCCGCACCCCCCTTGTGGCGCCACTGATATGGTACTTGAATGCATTTTAAGGATTCAACTCCAGAGTTTAGTGCCACTTTAAAGACATTTGTTTGTTATTGACCAGTAATGAGACACTTGTTATTTCATGTTGAGTTTGACTGTCTTTGTTGGAAATTTCAACGCCAACTTAGCAAGAGCAAAATGTAAGTGTGTGGGTTTTAAAACTTTTTTATGTTTTGGGGAATACAGCTAACTGATGACAAAGAGGTGGCTGGAGGTGACCCAGCTGTTCCAGGGAACACAAAGGACCCCGTTGACATTCCAACTTTTGATGAGTGGAAGAAACAAGTCATGGAAGTGGAGAAAGAAAAAAGTATGTTATGCCAGTATGGCAAAGATCAAAATTCAAATTGCAAATTGGTAAACGCGTACAGAAGCCAGTGTATATACTTCCCTTTCCCAATTAAATCTATTCTCTTCTCTGACACAGTTGTGTTTTTAAATGTGGATCTTTTGTTTACAGTTCCATGAAGTATTGATGGTTTGAAAAAAATCTACTAAAAATCAATGTTTTCCCCTATAACATCCACTTGCAACCATTTTCATCTTATCAAATGGCATAGATGTAATGGAGAAGAACTGAGTTTTCAGTGTCTACATCTGATTCTTTCTTTTGGTGCAGGGATGGCCAAACTGCGGCCCTCCAGCTGTGGTAGAACTACAAATCCCATGAGGCTTTGCAAGATTCTCACAGCCACAGACATGACTCCCGGAGAGAGATGCTTCATGAGATTTGTAGTTTCACCACAGCTGGAGGGCCGGAGTGTGGCCATCCCTGGGTTAAAGAAAGTAAAATTACCTCTCAGTGTTGGAAAGGAACAAGTGGCTATTTAAATTAAACACCCATTATCACTAATCTCGAGTGTTGGGAAAAGGGGATTTAATGTTTTATGCTCTGGTTCTCCAAAGAATATGTAACCACGGCTAGAGAGCAGAATGTGTTCTTTAGGTCTGATTTTTTTTTTTTTTTTTTCATAATAGAGTTGATCCACAACATGAAAAGATTAAAATAGCCACAGGCTGTGAGCTAGGCTGGACTTGGTGTCTGGGCTTAGTCTTGTCTTTGTAGTTTAATCGCTATAGAGCTTTCACATGGGAAGCAGATGAGATGATAATGTACTGGCAAAGCTTACAGGCTGTCAAAAGCTATACCCAGAAATTGTTAAAACAGGACATTGTTTACAATGTATTGTATCAGTAAAGGCATTGGTGCACGTTTACCAAAAAAAACATTTAGGTCTCGTTCACACCTAGGCGTATTGCGATTCGCGGTAAAAAAGTCGCGTTTCCGAAGGCTACTTGGCTGTATCACAATGGAAACGCGCAACAAAACGGCCCAAAGTAGTACATGTACCTTTTCAGGCGTGGGCCGTTTTGTAGCGCGTTAGGGATGGGCGGAAATACGCCAAGATGGGAACGAGACCATTGAATACAATGGGATTTATATTTTCGAGCGTTTTGTAGAGCGTTCGTCGAGCGTAGAACGCGCTACAAAACGTTCAGGTGTGAACGAGGGCTTACAGTGCTTAGAAGTTCACTGCTCTGATGTGTGAACAGTATATCCACATTGTTATTGTTATTACGCTTTGTTATGTTTAATGTGAATCTTAGTGGATTATCATTTTACACTTGAGCTGTTATAAATACTTTGCCTTGTTACGCTGAAAATTGTATGCACAGGCACTTCTACACTTAATATATAAATGTATTTTCCATGCTCTAAAATGTCAACCTTTTCCATCTGTTTGAATCTTAGTCCAAATTAAATACTATGTTGAGGATCAAGTTGCAGTGTATTGTAGGCATTGGATAAGAAGTAGTACTGCTCATTGTCTTTTTGTTGTGGAACATTTATTCTCTTGCTCTGACTACTTTTACTTCATGAAGTTTTTATAATTGCCAACAAACGTAAACATTGAGGGACCGAGGAATTCAGTTACTGCTTCAAGCTAAAGGATTGGACACTGCTAAACCGAAAAAAATTTCATCCAGGCCCAGGAAACCCCTCCTCTAACCAGCATGCCTCACTAGATGTCTTTTCTAAACCTCTGCTGAGGAAAGTCTAACCAATTTTTGCTAGCCTTCTTTCTGTTGTTTGTTTGTGGATTTCTTTCTTCTGTCTTTCTACACCGCTGCTTTAGCTGGTCTCTACATATCCACCATCGGGATCAGCCTTTTCTAAGCATAATTTTGGAGTGCCGTATTCAGACCCCACTGAACTGGAAGTTAAAGGGCTAGCCTGAAATCATGTACTGGTAGAAGTTAGTTGCATAGCACTTTCCAGGTCCAGAACTGTTTACATGACAACAGCACCTGGCCTGTCTCTGAACACTCACTCTATTGAATAGGTCAGTTGGGGTTAAGCACTGGGAACTACCTCACTATTTGCACTGCTGGGTGCTTTTTAAATTTCCCTAATTTGTTGATCACATCACGTTGCGGTCCTTCTCTTCCTCTTTAATGGGAAATTATGGTTTCACCAGATTTTTGGTGAGTTTTGGTTTATCACTTTTTTCTCTGGTTCAGGTTTGGTGTTCCCTTTTTGTGTGGAGTCATTGAGTCATTTCCTCTGGTGAGACCTTTCCATGTATGTCCCGAGCATATCAGGTTGATTCCTTGTGCCCTCCGTCTGGTTGCGTTCCACATTCGCCTATTTAGTAGGGGGCTTGACCCCCATCCAGCTCAGAGTGAGGCGTTGGTCCTTCAGGTGGCTACTGGGCTGCATACAGTCCCCAGTTCTCTTTGTTGGGCTTGATGGCAGTTGCTGCTGTGTTGCCCATACCTCACACTGCTTTTGGGTGTCCTGACAGAGTCTGAATTCCTGTGTTCCGGATGAGAAAGGAAATAGGATTTTTGTACTTACCGTAAAATGCTTTTCTTTTCTGCTCTGGTAAGGGGTAGGTGATGGTGTATGTGTGCAGGTCCTCTTACTACTTATTCTAAAAGAAACCTGTGCTTACTGAAGCCAGAATTCCTTATTCTGTTTTTTTTTCACCCCCACCCCAAAATGGGGACTTTAAAGCTATTTGATTATTTTATCAATCATCTTCCGCTTTCAGGTGGAGAAATGAGCAAGAGCAGCCTTTAAATCTTCCTTCGTGCACATTTACTTTTTAAAATATGTTTAAAATGTTTTAATTCTTTTTTGACGTGAGATAGAATCCTAAATGCATAGTCAACGAAAAGCACTTCCTCCTTTTGGTTTGGGAAAAGGTTTCATGTTTTCCACTCTACAATAACGACTTGTTACTTGACCTTGTATTTAGAACTACCTTTCTGTAGATATTAATAACAAAAGGCATTTCTGAAATTGGATGACGGTCAGATGATCAGACTGCATGGCCCCTGAAGGGAGTAATCTGTCCTTTAGTAAATAGTATCACAGCCTGGAATTTTAACATTAGAGGGTATTCTGTATCACATGGACAGGGCAAAGTTTTCCAGTTATAGTGTAGCTGAAAGGCATGCTGTCAAGAAGCAACTGGCAAAGTCAGTCACCATTTCAATGTTTTTTTTCCAGGCCAGTCTACGCATCCCTCAGTCAATGGGGGGCAGCATACAATAAAGGTCCAAAAGAATAGGAACAATTATGCCTCTGTGGAGTGTGGTGCAAAGATCCTATCTGCCAACCCTGAGGCCAAGGTAAGATTAATGTGCAGAGTTGTTTAACTTCCTTGGATGGCACATGGAATATATCTGTTGGCTCAGGAAGGAATACATACATAATTGCTACTTTCATCAGGCTTCCTGGTGTTTTGTTGTTTACCTTGTTGAAGACCTGGTTAACAGGTAAAGCCCAATTCCAGGGTGGGAAACTGAGCTGTTGGAAATATCAGAGCTTTCTAGCATGGCTTCCACCCCTTCCCTATTTCCAGGTGCATATACGGATACAAACAAATGTTGTTTTAAAATGTAAATGAAGATAGAAGAATCAACCTACCAGGAACAGAAAGTAAAATAAAAACAAGCCAGATGTTCTAAACTGCACTTAGCCTTGGCTAATGAATGTGCTCAATGCTTCATGTGTCTGCATTAAAGAAATTTTTAACTTTGGGACAACGGGGACAAAAAAAACTCAAAGGAAAGCTAATTCATTATTGTATGTCAACCAGTATTATTGCTATAAACATGTCAACATCCCTATTTTCATATTATAACCTGATGTCACTAACCCAAAATAAAATTAATAGCAATGAGAAAAAATAATTTTCTATGAATATGTGCCTGCAGGCTAAAAGAATATACATCATGCATCACAAAAAAATAAGTTCATTACCCGCCCCCTGGCTTCTTGATTTGGCCAGAAAGCCAGCTACCTGGCCAATCAGGAAGCCGGGCGACGTGTAACGACTCGCCACCCGGCTTCCTGATTAGCATGGAAGCCGGGT